TATTTACCCCCAGGATTCAAGGGGGGGGGTGGTAAATAACCCAGATAACCCCCCTTATTTACACCACATGGTTGAAACTTACCTATAAACTGTAGTGATTGAATTTGATTTTGTCAGTTGATTGAGAAGCACGGACTTCCCTAAATAATTTGAATTTTGAATTTTGATCAAGGAAAGATTCCAGATCAATTATCACAATGTAGGTAATTTATTACAAAGTTTAAAGGGGGTCTTTCTTATTGGTTAAGTGGTCGCGTTGTCGACCAACCAAGAGTTGTAAATGCGGGAATATATCCAATAGGAAATCCGCAGTTTCTAATAGAATTTCCGCAATTTTTGACGGTAATCTAAGACTGGGGATGTTTACTGAGGTTAATTTACCATAAACCCTCATCATACATCTAATCAATATAATCATTAATCAACACGCTAATCAACATCATCTAGTTCATGTATTTATCCAACCTCAACTCATCAGATTTGCAGAGGCCTTTGCAATAATATGTGTTTTTTCATGGGGGGGGGGGGGCTGAGGGTTTTGAAAGTTCTGCCCTTATCTCTACAAGCTGTGACTTTCATAATGTTGAAGAAAATTTCGCCCAGTTGGTTCATAATATCGTCCAGTTGGTTCATAATATCGTCCAGTTTGTTCATAATATCGTCCAGTTGTTCTAGTCATTTTAGCAAGCTTTCATCGCATCTTATATACATATATATAGAAATATTTTATTTATGTTATACATATAGTCAAGCTAGCTTGAATTCGATGAAATAATATCATTGCACCACACTAAATTAAAGAGAAGGACAATGTCAATTTTGCGACATCACTTGTACGAAATTGTGACCTCGTGGCTCCTCTAGTTTTGATTTAACACGCAAGCATGAGAAAATAAAGTCGCCCGGTCACATATTAAACAATTTCATAACACTTTGGTTCTTCTCAAAAGCTCTTAATAAAAAGGATCTATGATTGAAAACATATTAAATTTCAAGCTTATACGTACATTTTACTTTAGCTTGACGTGGCCCAGAGAAAAGTTTCATGGTAATTTAACGTATTTTTTTTAAATCCAGTAATTTAAAATCTATCTTACATATCTTTCAAAAATTGAGATATTATTGGGAAATCTTTTAAATTGATTGGTCTGAAGTTTCAGTAGAAGTAAATACTTCCTTTTACTGTTTAGCCCCGATATAAGGATTAATCTCTAATTGGATGATGAGATAGATAGAAAGATAGATGATACTGATATGCAATTTCTATTGGTTCAGAATAGACACCAAACACATGACTAGAACCTGATTGGATGAGGCGCTAATGGAATCACATGAAAGTACGCAAGTCAACACATGCACAGATTTTATTTGCCATAAGTATTGAAAATTATAATGTTGAAACCAGGGGCACTCTCACCCAGTTGGTTCATAATGTTAAAGAACCTCTCGTCCAGTTGGTTCATATTGTTGAAGAATCTCTCACCCAGTTGGTTGATAATGTTAAAGAACCTCTCGTCCAGTTGGTTCATAATGTTAAAGAATCTCTCGCCCAGTTGGTTCATAATGTTGAAGAATCTCTCACCCAGTTGGTTCATAATGTTGAAGAATCTCTCACCCAGTTGGTTCATAATGTTGAAGAATCTCTCACCCAGTTGGTTCATAATGTTAAAGAACCTCTCGCCCAGTTGGTTCATAATGTTGAAGAATCTCTCGCCCAGTTGGTTCATAATGTTGAAGAACCTCTAGTCCAGTTGGTTCATAATGTTGAAGAAAAATATAATTTTTACAAGAAGTTTTTTCATTAGTATTTATTTCACAGTATCATACATGAATTTATAACTGCATTTGTTTATTTAGATTTTAATGTATGATGAATAACATCAGACCAGACAAAATATATTTCATGAATACAATGAATACAAATGAATATTGCATATATATAGAATGTTTAAATAAATATGTAGGCTTTTTTGCCATTTGTCCAAAAAGTTAACAGGGAAAAATATTTTATAATTTTCACAGTTTTAAGTTTTAAGTTTTAATTGCAATCTGATTATGTGATAAGAAGGATAAAATAGGAGGTCGTAAACATGAAAAATGAATTGATACGCAAAAAAACGTCATAAATCATGAGAAATATAAAATAACATTTATATTTTTATTTCAAGAAAAACTCATATTTTATCTATGCAGTATTTTGATGATGTACACAAAATACAGAAAAAAATAAAAATTATGAATATGTTGATTGCTGATGAATAAAAATTGTAAATATTGTTGTTGCTCTGATCTGAATTGTGCTGAATACTCATGATTGGCCGCGAAACTACAGTTACTGGGTTCTGGATTAAGAAATAAACAAACTTAAACGCAACACCGCGCCGGAATATTTTTTTATAACAGCCAAAGATACTAAATTACTCACCACGAGGACTTAACTTTATAATTTCTAAATCTTTGCAACCTTATATTGCTATTTCATACTATGACTAATGGATCTATAGCAAAAAATCAAAACCATATACCCCAGATGGTTGCAAAGATGTTAAGATTTTAAAATTTAAGACTGTAGCAAGTATCAGTTTCTTTGCAAGGTTTACTATGAATGCTAACACCTAAAAAACTATTTTTTGTTTATCCCATCCTGCAGTTTATAATGTATATCTAATATTAGGTCAAGAAAAGAAATGGCGCATTTAAGATAGGATAAAGGGAGGATGCAGTAATCAATTAATCAATTACTGAAAATACAGAAACATTTGTCAATGTTTGCGGTTATAACACATCTTTACATCTGTCATATACTCTTCTTTATATCTTTATGATAATCAATCAATAACCATTGTTCAAGTTTTGCATTACGGTTTAGGATGGTGCAGTACGGTTTGGGACGGTGCAGTACGGTTTGGGACGATACAGTACGGTTTGGGACGGAGCAGTACGGTTTGGGACGATACAGTACGGTTTGAGACGGCGCAGTACGGTTTTGGACGATACAGTACGGTTTGGGACGTTGCAGTACGGTTTGGGACGATACAGTACGGTTTAAGACGGTGCAGTACGGTTTGAGACGATACAGTACGGTTTAAGACGGTGCAGTACGGTTTGAGACGATACAGTACGGTTTGAGACGGTGCAGTACGGTTTGAGACGATACAGTACGGTTTGGGATTGTGCAGTACGTAATTAGACATTTTTGTATGTTCCAAACCGTGTAGAACGATTTAGGACGGTGAAGTACGTTTTAAAAAATGCAGTAAATTTTTTAACGGTTCAGTACGATTAGGGATGGTGCACTAGTGCGGTAACATATATTAGAGGGGTCCTGGTTAGAAACCCCATTTCCACCAATTAAATGAGGAACTTTCGTGTGTGCTATTTTAAACTATATTTTTGGGACAGCATATTTTACATATGAAAGTATTACAAGTTGCAGTTAACTCTATTTTCGATGTATTTAGAGATCAAAATCTAACAAAAATATGCAGTTAACTCTATTTTCGATGTATTTAGAGATCAAAATCTAACAAAAATATGTTTATACACAGACAGGATGTACTTCGTTCTAGTTAGTTTTAAGTAGTAAGTTTCAAAAGTTTCTATAAAAAAAAGTTATTAATAGATAGATAGATAGATAGATAGATAGATAGATAGATAGATAGATAGATATGCCTATTGTCCGAAGTAAATGTCCACAATGGTTGAACCACTCCGTGATATTTTCTCATCCAAACTAATTTGCTGAAGAGCAACAATATATCACCACCCCTCCACTTTTTCATCCCCTTTCTTCAATACCCAACTCTCCTTCTCTCCTCCAGAACACCTTTTCTTCGTTCCCCATCCCCCCTCTTTCCATTCCTTTCCTCGCCCCACCCCTTCTCTAGATTTCTTACCTCCCAAACCCATTTCACCCTTTTCTATCCCTGTTCTCCCCTCGTCAACCCCCTTTCCCATTCTCCCTTTCTCTTTCTCCCCTTCCTTTACTGTACAGCGTACAATGCCTGGTACAGTTTCTGAAACTACACTTGTTTGCTAATATAGGTTTCCTGAAATGAAAACTATTCCCCCTCGATATAGGCCATTTTTTAACTATCCCCCCCCCTCGAGATAGGTTAACTATCCCCCCCGCCCTCGAGATAGGTTAACTAATCTCCCTAACTATCCCCCCACCTAATCTATGCTATATGTTCCCCTAATATGTATTTACATTGGAATAATAAGATTAGACACAGATGGTAAACCAGGAGTTCAACTATATTCATTCATTTATTCATTAGTCATTCATCCTTTAATGTATTCATCATTTATTTATCCGACATTCATCCTTAATTTATTCATCCTTTTATTCATCCGCTATTCATTCTTTATTTATTCATCATTTATTCATTATTTATTTAACCTCATTTCTTCATCATTTATTCATCATTTATTCATCATTATTCAATATCTATTTATCCGACATTAGTTCCTTATTTATTCATCATTTATTTATCTCTTTCTTCATCATTTATCAATCAGCCATTCATTCCTTTTTTATTCATCATTTATTCATCATTTATTTATTTATCATTTATTTATCCATTTAGTCAGCCATTTATTAATCTATTCAATTTTGTATTCATTTATTTATCATTTATTCATCCTTTTATTGATCATTATTCATTCATTTATTCATTTATTCATCATTTTATTCATTTATTCAATTATTTATTCATTTATTAATCATTTATTCATCCTTCAATCATCCTTTATTCATCCTTTATTCATCGTTTATTCATCCTTTATTCATCGTTTATTCATCGTTTATTCATCCTTTATTCATCCTTTATTCATCGTTTATTCATCCTTTATTCATCGTTTATTCATCCTTTATTCATCCTTTATTCATCATTTATTCATTCTTTATTTATCCTTTATTCATCATTTATTCATCATTTATTCATCCTTTTATTCATTTATTCAATTATTTATTCATTTATTCATCCTTTTATTTATTCATTTTTACTATAATATATCCATACTTTTTGTTATACTTTGTTTATCCTTTCATTCAATTATTCATCCTTTCATTCATTTATTCATTTATTCAATTTATTTATTTACTCTTTATTTAATTTTTGCATTCTTTAATTCATAATTCATCTATTTATTTGTTATTCATTTATTCATTCTTTAATTCATTTATTCGTCCTTTCATTCTTTTAATAGATTTATTTATACTTTAATTTATTTATTCATTCTTTCATTCATTTATTCATATAAATTTTATTCATCCTCTGTTTCTTCATTTTTCATCTATTCATTCTTTCATTCATTCATTCATTCTTTCATTCATCCTATTATTCATTCTTCGTCTTTTAACCCTATTCCCACTGCCCATAATACCCTGAGACTAGAGAGGGGGAGGGGGGGGGATTCAATTTTTACTTTATTGTTTTACTCCCCTTCTATTTTCCTTAAAAAATAATTGTAATAATACATTTTATGTTAATTTTTTATCAGTTAAGGAAAAATCCTCTTAACAGATCTGGGTTCCTCTGAAATATCTAAAAAAGATATTTTTTTCTAGGTAAACTTTATCTGTTCTTTTCTCTTAATATTTCATGATAATACCTGATTACCAAATTGTGTTAATTGGAGTATATATATATCTTAATCAGTTTCTTAGTTGTCTCACAGTTTGAAACATATTGCAGATTATACAAACTAATTTTACAAAATGTATTCTTTTGAGAACTCTAGCACCCCCCTCTCTCTGAATCCCCCTGTAGTGTTCCCCTGTGGGTGTTTAGAGTTCCTATTGAGTTTGTTAAGTGTTCTCAAGTAGGTTACTCTGTCATAATATACTCACTTATATTCTTCACTCATCCACACATAAATATATAAATATATATATAGTGTTCTCAAGTAGGTTACTCTGTCATAATATACTCACTTATATTCTTCACTCATCCACACATAAATATATAAATATATATATATGTATATATATATATGTATATATATATATGTATATATATATATATACATATATGATAAATTTATTATTCAACCAAAAATACAGCTTTACATCCTCAGACACAAGCTTATAATGAAAGGAAAGTTAATTGTAGTTGCGTATTCTCTGTGTACATATTGAAACCAGTTCTCTCTGGGCGGAATTTGTAAACAAGAATAGATGCATCAGTGTTCGTTTAGTATCCGAGAAGGTTAAAAGCATTAAATTTTGATAATTTTGATAATTCTCATGACAGTTTCCTATGACCAGAATATTTCAATGATTTTTATGTGAAAGATGGATCCCATGTCAGGCTGTGACATTCGTCTTTTGTTTACTTTATAGCCCAGAGACAGTACACTGCAGTACAATAAATGCGCACACCTCTGGAATAACTATCCTCACATTATAATTCTTTGCCCAGTCTTAAGTTTTATAAATATATTTTGAAATATGTTATTTTCTTTATCTATAACTTGAGACAAATAGATATAATTGACTTGATTTGATATACATGGTACAACAATAAAATGAAAAAATAATCAGTGTTTTACTTATCATGCACATTTCACAGGGATATACAAGATATATATGTTTTTACTTATCATGCACATTGCACAGAGATATACAAGATACATATGTTTTTACTTATCATGCACATTGCACAGAGATATACAAGATATATTGTTTTTACTTATCATGCACATTGCACAGAGATATACAAATATATATGTTTTTACTTATCTTGCACATTGCACAGAGATATACAAGATATATATATGTTTTTACTTATCATGCACATTGCACAGAGATATACAAGATATATATGTTTTTACTTATCATACACATTGCACAGAGATATACAAGATAAGACAAACCCCTTCTTCTAATAACATGATTTTTAAAAACGTTTTATTATTTTTTAAACATTTTTATTGACTTTAATTATTTTACTTTTTTACTTTAATCTGTAAGTTTACATGAACAAATTAAAATAGTTTATAATCAAAACTTGGCTTTTTAGCTTACATTTCATGATGATATCTGAAGCAAAGTTTAAAATCAAAACATCTTTATTTTTGTTTTCTAGCCAAATTTTGATTAAACTGTGGAAAATAGAAAAAGAAATTGAAATGGTCCAATTGATCAGTAAATGATTTTGAAATAAATCAAATTTTTGTTGAAAAAAATATAATCTATTTTTAGTATAAAGTCAATTAAAATGTAAAAGGTATTTTCTGAACCAAATATTATTTTGATATATCTCATCTTGTAAGTTGGTTGTTCTCGACTAAAGTTTGTGGTTTCTATTACAAAGATTAAACCTATGTCTCCCCCCTGCTCCCCCCGGCCCCCTCTTCCAAGTTTGCCGAATTATCTGATGTAAAAAGAAAACGGAAATATCCAATTCAGCACCGGAGATCATTTCCTGGCCAAGTACCGATAAACCGGACGTACAAAATGTCGGGGAACAGATAATTATTTAATAAAAATATATTTCCACAAAACTGTATTGTTTATCACATACATTTAAATTCATAGACTCAGAATTTCTTCTGAAATCTTGCACGGAAATCGCAATCAAATCTTCGCCAATTGAAAAGCTATGGCACTCTTGTATGCCGAGTCCATTAGTGCCTGATTCAATCTGGGTTCAATCATGTGTTTGTTGTCTATTCTGAACCAATAGAAATTATATGGCGGTAACCTCTATCTTTCTATCCATCTCATTATCCCCTTAAAGATATGAATCCTTATATCGGCGCTATAACAGTAAATGGAAATATTTACTAAAACTATATTGATGGAGCTAGAAGAACAAAAATGTTTTGAATAAGTCTGTTTTTCTCATATTTAAGCGTAAAATCAAAACTAGAGGAGCTACGAGGTCACAATGTTGGATCAGTAATATTGCATAAATCTTACCTTCTCCTTGATAATTCAAACCTTGAATCATTAAACAGAATGAAATATCAAAGGTCCACAAAATCAGGTTGCAAAGAAAATTGGTTTTGAAGTTCAGAGATTGTTGCAAAAAACTCAGGTGTGGGTTGCCTTCCTCCCCTCGACTGGAGAATGTTTAGGAATTTGAAACTTTGAATTACTTTTCTAACATAGCCATTCAATTACTGTATCTATAAATATTAATATGCTTTGAAAAAATTTATGATTAAATGGCCGTAACCAAATTTAATAAAAAGTACAAAGAAGTTAAACTAAGCAGACAAAGTTGAACTACTTTTCTTCAGCTTGAAACGGATCATGCAACTTAGTTCAACTACTTCTCAACGACGACATTTATAAAATCTGTTCCATCTACATATTAATATAAGAGAGTTGAACAGGAATAAGGTTAACACTGTTCACAGCATTCCTCGGGGATCATACAATGCTCCGACATATCATACTTGGGGTATGAAAACTGTTCATGCTGATCCAGACGTCTATGGTCCGAGGAACAGAATGGAAAATATGATCGGATACAGGGCCCCACAATGGAGAGAAGAAGTCTATGAAGAGATGGTCCACCTTGATAATAAATCCCGTCTAAGGATGGGCAGAGCGGCCATCAAGTACTTCATGGTACTCTATGATCTGATTAAGTGCAGTGCTGACTCAAAGGTTAAAGGCCTTAAAATCGAGAAACGTAAACTAGAGCAGGAGTCCAGCTCTTCCAAGAAGTGCAAGTTTACACAGGTTATGCGTTAAAGCTGCAGTTCTATCATGCACATTCTAATATTGCGGTGAAGCGCCATTTGTTATGTTTATTTATATTTTTTGTTTTCAATTAATTTGGTGAAACGCCGTTCTAGTTTTCCTTCAACATTTTTCATACTTTTCTCTCACGATGAAACGCTATAAATAAGGTGTCAGAATTATTCTCCTTAAAAATTGGTCAAATGAGAATTCTAAGAATTCAATTTTAAAACTGAAAATTCAAACTACACCAATTATCAAATTGAAAAGCTTTAAAGTTTTAAATATTTAGGCTTCGAATACTTTAATCCATCAATTGAATCCAACATTTGAACTGTAAGATCTTAGATTTGAGACTTTTAAACACTACAACTAGTAAATATCTCACTAGTCCTTAATAATGGTCTATCTTATGTTTCTGTAAAATACTAATCACAGATTATGTAAATCCATGGATCTCATGTGCAACTAGTCCTCACATAATTAATCTACCTTGTTTTAAACACATTTCGCCAACAATTCAAAACGAGATAATACTGTTACTTAATGGTGAATCGCCTAATCATTTTATTTTTCCAATTTTTGTATTTTTTTTGGCAATTCCTTCTGATCCCCGTCACAGTTTCTGCTTCTGATCTTTTCTACTTATACTTTACTTTACACTAAAACCTTAAAATGTACATTGTAAGCATTTTTTTCCGTTCTACAGTGGTCTATCATTAATGCTCATGTTTAAAACACCTCTCGTTAACACTCCAAAACGAGACTCTATTGGCTACTTAATGGTGTATCGCCTTATTGATTTTATTGTCCTATTTTTTCTTTATTCATGTACGTTATTCGCATCTCGTGTTGTTGTTTTTATATTTTTTCGGATCACCGTCTTAGATTCTGCCTTTGTTGCAATTGGTCTTTATTTGAACTGAAAAGTGAAAATATATCCCTACGAGCCCTCATTAAATGTTGTCAGCTCATTTTACTGTCATTACTGAATTTACTTAACTTCAAAATAAAAATGAAAATTGTGTCATTTACCAAATCTCTAAGATTTCTACATAAATAAACAGATGCTCCATGTAAAATATTAAAATCAAAATGTACCTATCTTTGATATATATTTATAAAGTTTACTTGTTGTTTTTGTACTTTTGATCAATAAAAAGATTTGAATAATAATATAAGAAAGATAATGTGCTGTGTACACAAGTAATAGAACTCTCAACCGATAATACGGTTAAAATCTGTACATGCAGTACGCGGGCTTTTAATCTCTACATGCATACATGCAGTACGCGGGGTTTACTTATGAAGACCTCAAATTAGATCTATAATATCTTTAGAAGTTACGAAAAATGTGTTCTTTGCATCTATCTTAAACCTATATTATCTTAACCCGTATTCCTACTGAAGTCTCTGCCCAAAATTCGATGTTTTAAGAAAAAGTGTATTAGTCCAAAACTTTGAATATCATCTACATTTGATGATTTGACCCAATAATGGGACAATTGTTTTCCATTTTTTATTAAATTTGGAGCTATGAGACTCAGTAGATATCGACAGGGTGAATGGGTCCAGCAAAAATATCGCTTAGCATATCCTGCCAGTAATCAGAGACAATATTGATGATGAAGTCTGGGTGGAATTTGATGAAGAACTGTTGGCTTTATGATCTTTATGAAATTACTTGGATAGAGCGGCGTGGACACAGGGCTCCAAGGTTTTCAGACTGTTTGTGGAATCATTTTCAATCCAGTCTGGAAGATGGAATTCAAACAAACAACATGTTAGAATCCTTTAATAAAACCTGGAATAGATTAGCAGGGAAGTATTCAAGTGTATGAAGAATTCAGGAACTGCTTGTCGAAAGCTGTGACACAATTCCTCCAAGTGATTATCTTAAAAAACGTACATTCCCCCCCCCCCCCCCTTGAATATATCATATTGATAAAGAACTATTTTATAATTCTAGCGCGTAATCTGTTGCCGAGTATTGAATGGTGTACAGCAGTAAACTCGGGAACTGTAATTTGTGTCCAGACTTGGAAATGTAATTCAAAAGTATCCTCTCTACACAATATAAACCGGGAGATGGGGGGCTAGAGAGGGAATCTGGAGGACTAGAGAGGGAAGATGGGGGACTAGAGAGGGAAGATGGGAGGCTAGAGAGGGAAGATGGGGGACTAGAGAGGGAAGATGGGGGACTAGAGAGGGAAGATGGGGGACTAGAGAGGGAAGATGGGGGGCTAGAGAGGGAAGATGGGGGACTAGAGAGGGAAGATGGGGGGCTAGAGAGAGAAGATGGGGGACTGGAGAGGACTGTATAGAGGGGACACTATAGTTTCTAGAAGTAAATATTTCCATTTACTGATAGCGCCGATTGAAGGATTCATAACTCTAATTAGATAATGAGATAGATAGAAAGGTAGATGTTACCGCCATACTATTTCTATTGGTTCAGAATAGACAACATAAAACATGACTGATCTCGGATTGGATCAGGCGCTAATAGACTCGGCATACAGAAGTGAGGAGATAGGGTTTTAGAACGGAGAGGGTGGCAAGGATGGGGGCCGGCTTTGTAGTGTAGGAGGGGTTTGGAATGGGATAAGGGGGTTCATGGAGCATAGACTGGGTTCTGAGTGGGAATGAGGGCTAGGTACTAGATAGAAGTGAAAACAGGGATTAAAAACTGGGGAAAAGGAGAATTGGAGAAAAGATGGTAGTTCNGAAGTTTTGAGATAGCGAGGTAAAATCGGAGTAATTAGGTAGTAAGACGGGGACTAGGAAGAAAAGATGGGGCTATGAAGGAGAGATGGAGCTATGAAGGGAAGATGAGGGCTATAGAGAGAAATGGTTTTAGTATAAAGAGGAAATAAAGAGGAAATAAGAAACAAATTAATGAAAGGAGATGAAGGAAAAATTTAATCTATAGATCTAGAAGAAATGAGGGGCGAGGGCTAGATCTAGAAGAAGACTCATAGGAATCTTGAGAGCCATGCAAATTTTGCATCAACTACAACGCTTTTGTTTTTAGCTTTAGCGTAAACTTGCTAGACATGGTAGTTGAGCTGAAAGTGCAGTATTGTAGAGAAAACTTAAGGATTAATTTTAAACCAACGAGACATTTTCCTGTGTACAGTTTTTAAATAAGAGCGTAAAGTAGTTTGTAATATTTCACCAGTTGTAGCAGAAGAAAAGGTTTTTTACAACTCTTATATAACATGCGGTTTAAAAATGACTTTACACTCCTTTTTTAAGAATTGTGAAAGCATGCAAACTTTGTCGTACTCTGTGGACTAGAGAAGGCTAGAGATGGGCCCAGAAGTCTCAAATCTATATCTCTAAGGGCACCTATAAAACTTGTAGTACTCTGTGGACTAGAGAAGGCTAGAGATGGGCCCAGAAGTCTCAAATCTATATCTCTAAGGGCACCTATAAAACTTGTGCATCAATTTATAAGGCCCAGAGACCGAATTTGAACAGCGGTAACGATTTGACCTTTGGTTTATAAGATTTCGAACACTAAATGACAAGCGCAATTTCTCCAGCTATCTGTTCTATGCTTAACTCCCCTCAACCAGAAATCTACCATGTCCAGTCTCATAATTTTGCAGCCCTGGTTAAGAAGAATTAAAAACCAGAAGCGCCTGTTTCAAGCTTTATTTCAGCTAGTTTAGCAGAAGCAACTGGCAAAATTAACCGTGATTTGAAATTTGCGTATTTTTATTAGCGCTTTTTTATACTTACCTTCTATGATTGATCCAAACAAGGTCAAAATTATTTTTGACCTTGAAAAAAGGGATTTGCTTTCGTCACCCTCCCCCCCCCACACTACCATCTATAGATTTAATTAATAGGGAAGAGAAATTACTGGTACGACGTTGGGACCTCAATACTCCTGATGTTTTTGTTTTAAGTCAAAGAGTGAGGAATGTAAATTTGCTTGCACTTGGTATAAAATGATCCCCCCCTTCCATTTGCGCGCAGAATAAGTTGTTAATTAGATATATTCATATTTTTCATCTTTTGGCATATCTCCTGCAGTATCAATCTATCTATCTACTATTCTGTATATTTCTTTGTTCTAATTGTATTGAAGGAATGATTAGAAGGTTGGGAATCATCTCTGTAAATACTGCCAACCACCATGATTACAGATTACTCTCCAAATAGCAAAACTTACTCAATCTCTTCTCTCATTGGTTCCCGGGATTCGGCGGCTGTGCTCTGATTTGTGGAGCGCTAGAAACGCTCGACCAATAAACGGCGAGCATTTGTCCGGTCCTAATGTGTCCTATCAGTGATAATGGGCTTGTTATGGCGGTCTGATGGACACACACAGACAGTTTAACTTTGTTCTTCAGCTGAGCAACACATACGAAACAAACCTTAGTGAACACTTTTTAATACACAGATATTACCTCTATCATGGATGCTCAAAATTTCATCAAAAACTCTAGTGCACATGTAACATCAAAATTTGATGAAAGTTCGGCATTTACAAAATTTTTGAAGCAAACTGCTGAACAACAAACACGATTACTACGGGAAGAAGAATCAGAAAATGTCACGAACAAATTTTCAAAAGATCACAAATCTCCATTTTGTATCGAGTCCTTGCTCAAATCCGAGGTACGCCCAGACCGATATCCGCCCCTCAGCCCACCTTCCAACTCTTCACCGCCACCTGGCTTCCCCACCCCTCTGCCCCAGTTCCCTTTCCCCCCTCAACTCTTACCCTACCTACTCCCCTCCCCCCAAACTCCTGATTATGTGCATATGGAGTACCTCGCTAGACAAGGAGTCTTTCTCAACTCCTTTCCCGCTTTTGCAGGTAGATTCTAAATTTATTAAAATTATTTTTTTATTTTAGGTAAAATGGTTGTGTTAGAATGAACTCTGAGACTTTCAACAACAGTCTTTTTGATAAAAAAAATTCATGATAAAAAATGTTTCACCAGCTATTTTTCCCTTTTTATCCAATAGAAAGATTTAGGAAAATTTCTCTTATCAGATTAAATTCGAATAATTGCATTTTTACTTAAATGATACAATTATAGTGAAGAGTATTAAAATAAAATAAAAAAAAGAGAAATCGGTTTAGCCAGGCAATGTCAAATTGCATTGGAAGCAAAGCCTGGGAATTTTTGGTTGCGTGAGAATATAAATATGTTGCAATTGACATCAAACTAAATACAACTAATGAACCCAAACTTTTAGAATTCAATTGGTTTAATTTTTTGAAATTAATTTTATTGAAAGTATTAATTTTATTTTATTGGAGACCCCTCGATCCTCTTTCTGAATATGTCATGATTCATCGAAGGCCCTTTACCACTTCTTTTCACTGAGAAGCTGAGTTTTTTTTTGACACAAACTCTAATTTTTTTATTTCTATATCCTTGCAACCTTATGATGTAAAAATTTGATATTTCTAACATAGATTATTTGATCCAACAGCTTTCATAGTTGAAATATCTAAGGTTTGCGACATCGGGTGGAAAAGATGAAGGGATAAGAAAATCAGAGTTTGTGACAAATAAAGGAATAAATCCAATCGAATATGGAACTTCAACGAAAAACGCTATTTCTTAAGTATTAATTATACCCCTTCCNCCTATAAAATATTATTTATTGATTTTCAAAAATTAAAAAAGAAACATTTATTTAGAAAACAAAACGTGTTTTCTTTCGACATTGGAGAAAAATAAAAGAATTTATATTTGATACAAATTGTAGAAAAAAAATACATTATTTAAAAATATTTTGGGACATTGTAGAAACTGATACTTTCTGCGAAATAATACTATTCAAACATCAATAAAAAAAATACTTTTATTTTCGTATTTTCCTATTGATTTGTCATCGGGTCGGGCCTTTGATAAAAGTTTACAATATTTATTCTTGCACTTTGTCATCTGCTGTTCATTCCTGATAATTACTTTACTGCCACCTTGGCGGTATAAGTTGATTCATACAAAATATAAACAAATAAATGTAAACAAAGCTTTCTTTTTCTCAGGAAATAGTCGCTTAATGCTAAAAATATGACTTGATTGGTGCCTGTATGGGGAGAGGCGGGGGGNGGGGGGGGGGGATATTTTTTAACAAGATGATGTTAAAACAATGTCTCGTAAATGTGGAATATTATATTCATATAACATTTTGTCACAAACATTTCTTATTATTGCTATGACAAACATTAAATCATTTAATTTAAGTCCATATTTCAATTATATTATCATAATTTTTATTATTACTACTATTATTATTATCATTTTTATCAATCACTATTATTATTTCTATTATTATTATTATTATTATTGTTATTACTATTATTATAATTATTATTAATACTGTTATTATCATTATCATTATTACGATCAAAACAAAATTATCAAACATTATATTTTTAATTGGCTTATAATAAATTTTCTTTTGTATTTTATTTTAAGCTGAACCATCATACATTATTATTTTGTATTTTGTGTTTGAAAATAAATACTATATATATATATTATTACTAACTCTTGACATTAATTAATATTTTTTCCGTTTAGAGTTCCAACATTCATTGCTCGGTAAGAACCGTCGTCCAAGAACTGCTTTTACCTCCCAGCAGCTCCTGGAGTTAGAAAAGCAGTTTAAGGTAGGGTTGCCTGACTGGGTGTACATTTTCTGCACTAGTATTACCTCTTTAACCATTAGTTCACTGTGATCCAAAGGTTGCAAACTCTGACGCAAAACTCGATCAGAATTTTTCAAATATACTTCTTAAAGCCGACCCGGTCTTAAAAATTGATGCAACTTTTTATAGCAGCCTGGATCTACATGTCAGATAGATGTTATTTCAAGGAGAGGACATTTCATAGAGAAAAGGGTTTTAACTCTGATTCCAAGTAAAAGCATGTGTTATGTTGTATCCATTTCAAGTGATCACTCATTAAAGGAGAAGCATGTACGGATTCACAACCTTTATTTCATAAATAATGTGGTTATTGATGTCGTTTTCCTTGTTTAAAAATGTTTAGTTTGATTCCAACAACTTCCATCATTGTTTTTGAAGCAGAAATGCTTAAGTTACATCACAGAGAAAACACACTTGACCCTAATCATTTTTCAAAGAGAAGATGATGTATTTCTTTGCATTATTAATCAGACGAAACTATAAAAGGTACAGTTGTGAATCGGACACTCTATAAATGAATGATTGCCTGCAATTACGTGTACAGTCCCTTTAACATGTATATTATTTAGGAGAGTAAGTACCTGTCTAGACCTAAACGGTACGAGGTAGCAACAAGTCTAGGTCTTTCAGAAACACAGGTAAACATTCATCTAGGCATAATTCTAGGTATAATTCTAGGCATAGTTTTAGGCATAATTCTAGGTATAATTCTAGGCATAGTTCTAGGCATAATTCTAGGTATAATTCTAGGCATAGTTCTAGGCATAATTCTAGGTATAATTCTAGGCATAGTTCTAGGCATAATTCTAGGTATAATTCTAGGCATAGTTCTAGGCATAATTCTAGGTATAATTCTAGGCATAGTTCTAGGCATAATTCTAGGTATAATTCTAGGCATAGTTTTAGGCATAATTCTAGGCAAATTCATACAAGTAAGACTCTGGAACCTCGTAGCTCCGTTAATTTTGATTTTAGGCTATTTGTAAAGGAATTGAGTATTTGTTGCAAACTCTGATTTTCTAATCCCTATATCTCTGCAACTCAACGTCGTAGACATTAGATATTTCAAACTATAAATTCTGTTAGAACAAGTAATCGGAGTTTGAAATATCAAAGATTTACACCATCATGTTAAAAAGATGTAAGTATTAGAAAATTAGAGTTTGTGGCAAAGATTCAATTCCTTTATTCAATTGCATTTTGAAGATGTCAAACTAATTCTTTATTAAAAGCTCATCGGATTTTAATTTTAATAGACGATTAGTAATCATCAGACATAAATTTTAGAGTTTGAGGCAAATGTTCAGTTCTAGTTTTCTAGGAATTAACTCTTAATAATTGTGTTTGGTTCTAGTTTTCTAGGAATTAACTCTGAATAATTGTGTTCAGTTCTAGTTTTCTAGGAATTAACTCTGAATAATTGTGTTCAGTTCTAGTTTTCTAGGAATTAACTCTGAATAATTGTGTTCAGTTCTAGTTTTCTAGGAATTAACTGTGAATTAATTGTGTTCAGTTCTAGTTTCCTAGGAATTAACGCTGAATTGTTTTCAGGTAAAAATCTGGTTCCAGAACCGCCGAATGAAGAATAAGCGGACCAAGGGCGGAGCCAGGGAAGGACGAGGGGAGGACAAGCACGATACGTCCTACATGGACGAGGACGAGGATGTAGATGTGGGTAGTGCTGAGGAGGAGGTCAGGGTAAAGACGGAGGATGGTGAGGTTGATGTAGAGGCTGGGGAGGCTAGATTGTATCCGGAAGTTCTCTCTCGGCTTGGATATCCATTCCAGTCTAAACTATTTAATCCTTCACTACCATGTAAACCTAGCTTTTCATAGTTTAATAATGTCATTCATACATAAATATATCAATACTGTACATACCTACCTACAATACATAATTTCTTCCAGAGTAGAGCTAGGAAGAAACTTAGAAAGGATCTGTTCATTAATATTGCACGAAGAGGGCAAAATCAGTTTTCCCCGTAAAAAATTGGTTACTATGTAGAATTCAAGAGGAAAACCTGAAGAACACAGTCCATGACATTTCCGGATTGCTCAATCTTTCTATATACTTCTCTCAGTAGAGAGTAGAGAGTAGAGAGTAGAGAGTAGAGAGTAGAGAGTAGAGAGTAGAGAGTAGAGAGTAGAGAGTAGAGAGTAGAGAGTAGAGAGTAGAGAGTAGAGAGTAGAGAGTAGAGAGTAGAGAGTAGAGAGTAGTGAGTAGTGAGTAGAGAGAATAGAGTACAAAGTACAGAATGAAATCGGCCATATTAAATTTGAAATTTAGAAGTCATCAACGTAAACCAAATTTTACAAAAAACGAATTTTAATGGGTTTTCAGCTTTACATGAACTAAATAGTGTACAGGAAAAATACATTGCTGATTTACATAACAGCTAAACACTTATATCACGTGTACTCAATCTTAGAAAGTATAACACGTGTGTCCCATTTGAACACACGTGACTAGAGCTACAAGTCCACTCTAGTTATTGTAATATCTATTGTTTAATTCCCCTTTCTTCTTTTAAATCTCAAACCCTCCATTTTAAATCTTAATAATTTAATTTTCCTTTCCATTGATTAATTTTACTCATCATTGATCGATCTCACCCTGAACTAACGAGAGAGAGAAGCATTCGGTTTATTTTATTTGAAATCAAACGTGTTTTCGTCTATAACTCGACAGTCATTAGACTTACAGATTTGTTTATTTAATCATTTTTCATTCAAAATGTATATGCCAACAAAAAAGTATTCAAGATAAAAGGCTATAAAATTATGTAAAAGGGGTCATATTGTGATCGAAAGTCACAGTTTTCTGAAATATTGACAGAACCGTTAAATCCACACAGATATCTGTTCTTTTTACTACTCTTTCACACATACAATGGTAAGCGATTATATCAATACAATGAAGACAACTTTGGTAATTTTATTTTGATTGTAAACAATCTTTTTTAGAATTACAAGTTTACAAGTTGTCCAAGAGAAGCTTTTTTAGAATTACAAGTTTACAGGTTGTCCAAGAGAAGCTTTTTTAGAATTACAAGTTTACAAGTTGTCCAAGAGAAGCTTTTTTAGAATTACAAGTTTACAGGTTGTCCAAGAGAAGCTTTTTTAGAATTACAAGTTTACAGGTTGTCCAAGAGAAGCTTTTTTAATTGACAGCTTCCCTTGACTTTTATGTTCATGTGTATCCATGCTGTTTAACAGCTTGATATAAATCAAAATTAAAATCGAAAGTCGTCTTCATTGTAATGATATAATACCACTGTATCTAATCAGACTGCAGAGCGTCAAAATTGATGTATGGTAGTGTATTTTATAATAAATGTTAACTAAAGATAGTCAGGCCCAACCTAAGACTTAGCGAGATAAAACTAAAATAAAAAAATGTTAAAATGCTTCCATGCAGAACATTTTCGTTGCAGACTGAAAAGGCTTAAAAACGAAAGCACTCACAAGTCTATTGTGCATCAAGGCAACCAGCTCTAACTGAAGACCGATGGACAAAGGTAACCGCAAAAAACTATAAAAGACCGATGGACAAAGACAGCTTCACAAAGACAGATGGACATAGGTAATCTCACAATGACCGAGTGCAAAGGCAACAGCATGCACAAAGACCGATGGACAAAGGCAACTGGATGCACAAAGACCGATGGACAAAGGCAACTGGATGCACAATGACCGATGGACAAAGGCAACCACAAAAAGACTGATGGAAAGGGAAACAAGCGTACAAATTGAAAGCTGATTTGTATTTTTTAATTACATTTTTTTTTAACGGATTGAAAGTGATGGACCAATTTGCACTCAAATTCACTTATTTACCCCCTCCCCCTTCCCTCTGTTCAAAAGGGGGTACAAGGGGTTCATGTGATCACGTGTTTTCCCTTCAACCATGTTCCCAGGTGTCAATTAGATAATAAATGCTTAGTCACGTGTACTCGTTATCTGTATCTGTATCTGTAACTGTATCTGTATCTGTATCTGTATCTGTATCTGTATCTGTATCTGTATCTGTATCTGTATCTGTATCTGTATCTATGGAAAAGGATGGTAGATGATGGTGTAGAGATTATAAAGATTATTCTAGGATTATGTATTGATAAGTGTGAGTTACTGCCAGCAGATGTATATACATTATACATATATACCTCATCCTATCATCTAACTTCCCCCCCCCCATCTCCCCTCGGGAGCCATGAATTGAAATTCGACAATTCCTTGACTGAATTGAAAAGCATGAAGAAATATAGTATAATCTCTAAACCTAACTTTGTATTAGAAAACTTCTGTGGGAACCTCCCCCTTCTCC